AGTGCCATGCCTCCTCCGTGAATGGGGTCTGAGAGTACAGGAGATGCCCTCAGATGGCTGATGGACTCAGAACACATTGCAGTCACTGAAATTAGTACCTATGTGAAGGACTCCTAAGCAGGCTGTGATAGCAGTTACATGTTTTTACAGTGAGACATACAACTGAGGCTGAGCTGACTGCCCAGAAAGAACCTGTGCCTACATAAGTTCCTACAGGAGGAACTTAGAGTGGGAAAGTGCCAGTACTGTCTTTTCAGGATAAGTAGAAAAGGGAAGGCTGAGAATGAAGCAGAAGTGATAGGAGATACCTTCAGATCCAGTCAGTATAAAGGAAGGGAAAATCCATGATTTACCATGTTGATGGGGACCTTACTTGTCCAGTGCCGGGAACTATTATACTCTGGGAATACTCTGACTTTTCTAACCTGCAAAGCAGTATACCTGGAACAGAGATTTTAAGTAGGAAACAGTAAAAGCAATGAGCTATCCAAAGGTCAGATTCTGAGGACATTATGCCAAATTAAGGACCTTGGAACTCTTGTATATGTACCAAATTGTTTTGTTTTGTTTTTGTTTTTCAAGACAGGGTTTCTCTGTGTAGTCCTGGCTGTTTTGGAACTCACTTTGTAGACCAGGCTGGCCTCAAACTCAGAGATCCGCCTGGCTCTGCCTCCTGAGTGCTGGGATTAAAGGTGTGCGCCACCATTGACCAGTGAGGTGTTTTTTCTTAATTAAATCATTTGTGGTGGAGGATCCACTTCTAATCCTGATCATTGAGGTAGGAAGATCTACCTTTAGTCTGGGCCATACCTCTTGGTGTCCCATATAAAGGACATGGAAGAAGGAAGCTCTCTCTCTTTGCCTGCTTGTTCTTGCTGGCAAGTCCATTCCTTCACTGGCATTAGAGCCTACTTCTTCAGGATTCCAGCAAATGCTGAATGGATTCTTAGACCTTCCATTGGTAGACAGCCTGTAAATCATTCTAATACCCCCTCTCTCTCCCTCATACCTACATATCTATATGTATATATGTATATAGATATGTATGTATATAGATATGGATGTATGAGGGAGAGCAAGCTCAGCAAGATTCCTGTCAACGTAGAACTTGAAGTAAAAACTGCCAAGTCAGAACTCACAAGCCTCTAAAAGACTAATGCTTAAGCAACAGATCTTAGGAGAAATGGCCAAGCAGCATAGATTGAAAAAAAAAAAGGTTAAGCTTATCCCCCTCTCCCATCCCCAGAGGAAGCTGTATACATTTCTTTCCTACAAGAAAGTATATTGGGTATGGAGATAGTTGCCCTGCTCTTGAGTAGCCAGGTGTGGCTAAGGGGGAGGTTGAAGCCACAGGTGTGCTGGCTAAAAGCCTGTTGACCTGGGGAGAGGAAATGAGAAACTGGTATAATAGAGGAGCTTGGCCCTCTGAGCTCACTAGTTTGGAGAGGTGTGTGTTGGGCCCAGGCTGAGGAGACATGAAGGCTTACAGAACATCTGGATGGCAGAGAGCTCAGTAACACAGTGCTCCCACCACACCACTGTGTGACCTTGCTCCCTTGGGGAAGTTACATAAACAATGGGACCCTTTCATGTTCTTTTGAACCTGCTAATTTTTTTTAGTGTCCTTAGCTGCTGAATCCCTAGTCCAGTTGGCACTTGTTTGGAACAGATGCTGGTGTGCCTTCAGAGAACCTGCCCACTCTATAAAAAGGATCCATCACATAATGTTCATTTCTGAGAGGCTTTCAGATTTAGAAATGTATCTGAAGGACATGCAAATGTTCTCAGAGAAGCAAGGATGAGAAATCGGCCCACACAGGGGCCAGGGGCCAAGCAACAGCTGTGAACATCTTGGAGAATTTTGTAGTTAGGTAAGACACAGGTGCCACATGATTGAGAAATTCCTACAACAGCCTGTGTCTAAAAAAACAGGAGTGTCACCAGGCATGGCACATGTCTTTAATCCCAGCACTTGGGAGACAGAAGCAAGCAGATCTCTTGAGGTCTGGTCTACAGAATGAGTTCCAGGACAGCCAGGGCTACTACATAATGAGACCCTGTCTAAAAAAAAAAAGTCATGAGTGTCGACTCAGAAGGCACCTGCATGAGTAAGAAATACGGTTGCTGAATGAAAATTCCAGTGCTGGGGTGGGCTGCCTCCCTGAGCTGGGGGTGGGGTGGGGTTCCTCAGGTACATACACACTACACACAGTCCCACTGCTGTTGCTTGCAGACCAGAACTAGAAGCTCCCTCCCTACTGCCTGTGCTGGGAGGTTGCAGAACACTGTGCAGGCCGCCAGGGGAGAATTCTTACCATTGATCCTGCTCAACTGTGGACCTCATGTGTCACGCTATCAGCATGCTGTGTGAGATTCAGCCACTGAGCCATAGTCATGTGATAGATGGTTCAAAAAAACTGTGTTCCTTATGGATTTAAGATCCAGTTCACAGCGGGGACCCATGTCAGACCCAAAATCTGTGGCAAAGGAGGACGTAGGTTTTGTTGAGGAGCTATTGCTGTCTTGTTGAATGATCTACTGTCAGATTGTGCGCCCCCCCTTGACCTTACTCTTGCTTCCTACCCCTCCCCCTCTTTTTGAGACAGCATCCCCAGACACCTACCCAAGGCTTGTCTTAAACTCACTGTATGGCTGAAGGTGACCTGGGATTGCAGGTGTATGCTCCAGTCTGATTTTCAAACTGGTTTCTAATTTCTGTGCTTATGCCTAGAGATTTTTGCTGTGGTTGGCCCTGGTTAACAATGCTTTTTGTATTAGAGAATGGTGGTTGCTGCAGAGACACAAGCTGGTCAAACTGCTGGGAACAGGGGTGGTGGTGGCGGTATTGAGGTGTAGCAGCCAGAGCTCAGCCCTGAATGGAAGAAAATAATCATACCTCTCTAGCAGTCACGCTCACCGAGGTACAAGGAGCACTGTAGAAGAAGCAATGGAAAGAATACCAGAGCCGAGCCACAGGCAAGTGTAGAGTGTGTGAAAATCTGTGCTTTAGGTGTGGCATGGCCGTTGCTATCTGGAAACCAGAGCAGCTGTGATTACCTGCATGAGGCCCTCACAAGATTGGCCCAATAATACTCCCTCATGGGAGGAGGAGGAGGGAGCCTGTCCTCCCCAGGGATATGTAAGTAGCTACCAATTGCTAGAGGGAGAGGAAGACTGCCTGCCCTTTGCCCGTGTTCCTGTAAGTAGTCCTAATTAAGCCCATTGGTCATTATGCTAGACTTGGGTGGAATTGTTTCTTTGGTCTGTTGTTACCCTACCTGAGGTAAGTAGAAATAACTCCCCAGGAGAAGTCACTCATTTTCTATAAAAGCCCCATGTGTCAAAGACCAGCCCCAGGGTTTTCTGATTGGGTGGCAGAGCCTCATGGGAGCTCTTTAGGTCATTGAAGATGTGCTATCAAATGGGGTTCTCGAGACCGCGTCCTTCCTCTTCCTTTCTTTCACTTTTTCCTCAACTCTGTGTGCCCGCCATGATGATGCCTACTGATCATGGACTGGACTCTGCAACTAAGATTCCAAATAAACCTTTTTTTCTCCATCAGTTGATTGTGTATGGTGTTTGTTACAGTGATGGGAAGCTAACAATGCGTGTTCCCAATCCTCTTCCAATGGGAGTCTTGAGAGTACTCTCCATACGGCCACCTCCACAGTCTTAGCAGCAGGCTCTGCTTCCTGTGGCTGTGCTTAGTGGAAGGGCAATGGACCTGGATAACCAGCCTGAGTCCCTAACTTGGGATCATGCAGCCACGTTCTGAGCTAAAGGCAGCCGTGGCCTCTGCCTTCAAGAGCAGCTCAGGCCTCAGTGTTGCGGCGGGGGCTTCAGCCTCTCACTTCTCTGGTCATCAGCACCCAGAGTAGAGAGAGATGCTGCCTGCAGCCTACCCTGGCCATGCCACGTGAAGAGCATTAGCACTAGCACGGGGTTAGTGTTCTGCCATAACCACACCTCCAGCTGACTGCCAGCCACCCAGAGACGTTTGCGTATGTGGTTCAGGATCTGCTCATACATGATCATTGCCATGCTAAGAGAATACTAACACCAGACCTTTATTTTTCTTTATATTGAGAAGCAGTACCAAGGGTGTTGGGGTAGGTATGAACTAAGGAATTCTCATAACTCTCAGGGGCTGGGTCCATCTCCTAAAGGGGATCTCTGGCTGACACCTAGTCTATAATGTCACCACATTCCAGGTTGTCCAGTTCACTCTGCATGTGGTCGACGTATTGATTGATCTCCTTCACTCGCTTACGGTTCCTCATGATCTCATCTTTGTGAATCTGGGGAATGGAAGGAAAGCCAGGTGCTCAGTGTATAAGACAGCTAACATCATAAATGAGTAAACTGAGGCCGGAGAGAGGGAAGGAAGATGTTTACCTTAGAGCCCCACCCACAACATGCACCACTGGTCTGAGTCAGGAGTTACAGATACAATGAAGTACATGGGTTCAAGAGTGTGACCAAGCCACACTATCTTCGCGGCAGAATTCTACAGTCCCTAATTCTTTTCTGTACTTCATTTCTGATGGAAAATGGCACGCTGATTGGTAGCTAGAGAACTCGAGCCAGCCTGCTGGGTGGCTTGGCATTCGTTACTCACCTTGTCTAACAGTTGTGCACACCAAGAGTTGATTCCAGTCACCAGCTCATCCTCTCGGTTGTCAATCTTCAGGAGGTGAATGTCATGTGATGCCCCAACAGCATTAACAATTGTGTCTTTGTCAACAAAAAGCTGGAAAGTGAGAAGGTCCAAATGAGATCATATGTGTCATGCCCTGAGCACAAAGTGAGGGAGCTGAATAGAAGATAGGCCCCTGGGAGTCCCCAGGCTGTGTGGCACACCTAGTGGAGAGCCCGGACCGTACCAGTCACTTTGTGCCAGCTCATCCCTGGGCAACAGCTTGCTCCCCAGCCTGAGCCATAGCAGATGTCATGTGCAGTCCCCATCAAAAGCATGTTTTCTCCAGGGAGATCACAGGTGGCTAGCCAAGGCAGCTTCACTAGGCATATCGGTTTTCACAAAGCCTCTTTCTGGGTAGTCCTAAACCTCTGCTAGTCAGGTCTGGCTGGGTCTCCAGGCTGTTCCAACCCTGGGCCCTGTAAGCTGATAGGTGTCTACCTCCTGTTTGTCTTTATAACACTCCTGCAACCAAAAAATCTGAAATCTCAGATGCACCAAAATCTGTTTGGATTTTTGGGTCAGAGATATACAACAGTACTTTGTTTTGCTTTACTTTCTAGAGTACCAGCCTAAAAGGCTCCAAAAATATGTCTGTCTGATCTTGAAATTTTAATACTTGGGAGATCCAAAACCTCCAGGCTCCCAAAGGAAGATTCAGGAGGCACAAAGTGTCCTTGTTTTTTTTTTTTTTTTTTTTTTTTTTTTTTTTTCGAGACAGGGTTTCTCAGTGTAGCTTTGCGCCTTTCCTGGAACTCACTTGGTAGCCCAGGCTGGCCTCGAACTCACAGAGATCCGCCTGGCTCTGCCTCCCGAGTGCTGGGATTAAAGGCGTGCGCCACCACCGCCCGGCTACAAAGTGTCCTTAATGCTCTACAAAGTCATGTGGAAAACAACCTGCTTGATTTTCTCTCCTGTCTTCTCTCTCTCCGACTTATTGACCACACACACTCCATTTCAGAACAGTGTCTGTGGGACACTGGTTCACTACAGAATCCCATGTGAGAAAAGCCAGATTATCTGATGTGGGACAATGGATCAGCACAGTCATACCATAGGAATGACAGGAAGTCATTCAGTTCCTCCCTACTCAGGCAGCAGGCCAGGCTCTAAGAAGCATCAGAAGATGAACACCTACCTGTCCACACTGAGGGTAACAGGCTTCTTTTGTTTTTGTACCTTTATCTTTAAAACATATTTAAATAAGAAACAAATATAATATGAATTTTTCCATAAACTTTGCTTTCTTATTACAGTGTTACATTGTACATAACATTCCATTTTACTCAAATTAAGACTTCACAAAGCTGAACATTATTTAAGCTTCAAATTACTCAGGAAAGAACAAACTATCATTAAGACTATCACTTTGAAAGGTTCTGACCTAAACTCTCTGCTAGATTGTTTCACTGAAACCATTCTTTGTTAAAGGAAGAATGCCGTGTGTGAGGGATGAGAACACATCCACTTAGACTACTAAGTACAACACTGTTACTAAATGGATCAAGGTCAAGTCATTTAAACATGCAGATTCACTCTTTACACATTGTATCAACCACAGCTGGTCCCTCAATGAAATGAAAGTTTCCTTCAACCTTGGGTTTTACTTGACAACACATTTTGTAAAGATGAGTTGATTTTTCTAGGTCATAGTTCACACCTGAGATCATATTCCATCAGGCAGAAGCAAGCCCAGACACTGCACATTCGTACACCCCCACATACACTCCGGCCCTCCATCAAAAGCTTGAGTGTCAACCAGTACTAAGCTAAGCAGCACTTATGTCCCAACTAGTGCCCCAGGTTGCAACAGCAATTAGGGAACAAGAAAGACAAAACACTCAGTGTCAGGTTCTGAAATGTCTCTCAGACACTTCACACCCAGCTTGGAGGTCAGTTCATTGGGTTGTCCAAGCAACAAACCCCATCTTCGATTGCTGGCTGTCCTGCCACAGCCCCAGACAGGAGTCTTGAAGTGTGAGTCTTGGCTTTCCTGTCCTAGGCTGACATCTCCGTGCTGTAGCTCCACAGACAGAAATTCCACTAGGAGTGTCTGTGTGACTGGAGAGTCACCACTCTGGTACACTTGCATGTAGTCTCCACTGTTGAGGGATGGTGAACTAACAAACTTATTTTGTATAGTCTCCAATGCAGCTCGGTGAACATCTTCAGCTTGTCAGTCCTGTGAACATTCTCCAGCCAATTCGATGCATACGCGGTGCTCTCCACTCCTGAGGTACTCAGAGTTGTGGAGTAGGGGTCATGAGTTCCAGTATTTTCAACTCAGCAGCCACATCCAGAAAGAGCAGCTTGCCCAGCTCTCCCTGGATGTTTCAAGGCCAAGCCTCATCTGAGACAAAAGCAGCAACATTCCCTTTGTGACCCACAACCACAGCACCTACTGTGTGTGTCTCAAATGCCCAAACCATCCATCCATCCATCCATCCTTCCTTCCTTCCTCCCTCCCTCCCTCCCTCCCGTTCGTTCTTCTTTCTTTCTTCTCTCTCTCTCTCTCTCTCTCTCTCTCTCTCTCTCTCTCTCTCTCTCTCTCTCTCCCTCCCTCCTCCTTTTCTTGTTTGTTTGTGGGTTTTTTTTGTTTGTTTTTGGTTTTTTGAGACTGTTTGTCTGTGTAGCCCTGGCTGTCCTGGAAATCATTCGGTAGACAAGCCTGGCTTCGAACTCACAGAGATCCGCCTGCCTCTGCCTCCTGAGTGCTGGGATTAAAGGCGTCTCCACCACTGCCCAGCTACCTCTTGTTCCTTTTAAGTGCAGCTAAATTGAATCTGTGGTCATGGTGTTAGGAGGGCAAGAGGGTATCCTATGATCCACTGTCCATCCATAGGCTCCTTCGCCAACTAAAAAGCAGGGAGGAATTCTGCCTGCAGAGAACTTACCCTTCTGCCCTTCACACAAGAGTCTGTTTGCGACTGAGCCAGACTTCCTGGGTCCGTTCAGTGCTCTAAGTGTTCCAAAATGACAAGGTTTTCCACCCACTATGCAGGTGCCACACTAAATTTCTCCTAAGAGCTTTAGATTAGACCCCTCTCCCTGCATTTGTAGGAGCGTCCTCAGTTCCGCCACAGTGTGGTCACTGTTCCTGTGGCTTTGCAATGACCTCTGATGAGCTCATTTGCATTCATTAGCTTCAGACTGAGAACGATGACCTGGACCTGCATGCACCAGCGTAAAGCTCCTTCCTCCTCAAAGCTTTGTTTCGAATTCCTTGACTATTACTTTATTAGCAGATGCCTGAGGTGATCTGGAAGGGGTCCTGCAGAACTCATCCCCTTCTCCACGGTGGTTCTTCAATATTACCTATCAGGAAGGGAGCATCCTCCCATCCAAAAGTAACTGCAGAAGAGGAATTATCCCACAGCAGTGCAGGGCATATACTGCCCTGAACTTCAGAACGAGGTACAGCCACAACATCAACTCTGGTATTTCTTCAAGCAGCTTTTGGGAATTTGCAGCTCCTTCCATGGACCAGACCTGAGCATTGACCCAGCTCTTGCAGCTGCACTCCTGCATGGATGTCCAGAGCGCCCAGAGTGCAGGTGACATTCCTCCTTTCTGTTGGCTCTGAGCTCTCTCTTCGGCTTGGAGTCTTGAATTTCCTGACCAGGTTGGAGATGCAGGAAAGCTGGACCAGGAGTGTGGCATGGCCAACAGCAGTTAGTTGGCTTCAGAGGGGTGCTCTGGAAACCTCCTAAGCCACGTGACTTTGTAATCATGATCTGTGCACAATTCTTCTGGGTAGCAGAAGCCAGCTTGCTTTCCTCCTCAGCCCTCTTCCTCTTCTGGACCATTCTTGCTATAGGCCCAGGAAACATTTTGTTGAGCCAAGCTGCCTGGGTCCAAATCACAGCTCTGCTGCTGTCAACTCCATGCTTCCCTTCCCTCTGGATGGAAACACAGTGGTGCCTACTTCCAGGTCTATCTGGGGACTGAAGGGGCCGTTTTGTGCCCAGCCTTCTCGGCAGGCTGGCTCTCAGAGGCTGCAGTATACACCAGCTATTGGTGTGGGCATACTTTCTCGTAGTCAATGTTTTTCTCCGGAGAAAATAGGTCATTTCGTTGCTTCTACGAAAGGCAACTGTGAATGTTACTAAGGAGAAGGGGCTTTCCCAGGCTCTCCCCCAGGGGGTTTTTGGTTTTGCTTTGTTTTTTTTGAGACAGGATTTCTCTGTGTAGCCAGGCTACTCATGAGATCCCCGTCTCTACCTCCAAGTGCCGAGGTTAAAGTTCTTGGCTGACTGGCTCCCCATGGGCTTTGAAGGCAGTTGTCTATTCCAGTCTTGCTGGTGAGTCTAAGAATCCCTTAGCAGAGAGGCCTGCTGCCACCCCTGAAATGCCTGCCAGCTGTGGTGAATAGGGAAGGGCGTGGTGCTGACTACAGTCACAGGCCCAGCACTGTCTGTCAGACTACAGTCAGAATTCAGACTCTCTTCCTCACTGGTTGTGCCATTCTTACCACACATCTATGAGCGTGCCTTGCCCAGTGTTCTCACCCATGGTGCTTCCTTTGGTGAGGGAATGAGTTCACATGTGGTCAACAGGCTGGATGGTGGTAATCCTCTAACGAAGAAACTTTGTTGCCAGACACTACAGTGCTAGACAAGGCCACTTGGGTGAGAGAACAAGCTGACCTGCCTCTTTGCAGAAGGCCTCTGGGGCCCGTATTTTACTGTGTGCTAGTCACTAGGGAGTGAGCATGGTTCTGTGATGCTGTTCACTGTGTGTCACAGACCTAGGAACTCTACCACTCCATGAGTACTGTCACAGACTTCCAGAACTTCTCAGAGGAGACTTGCTAATGGGCAGGGTAGTGTTTTCCTGTCTGGTCAACAATGAACTTTGTAAGTGGCTTGTGGAGAGAAGGTTAGTGTGACTGTGGCCCGGCACCATGCTGCTGTGACTGGTGTCTGTCCTAGCCTCAGAACAGAGGCTACAGGGTCCAGGCTGCTGGCCTTCTCTCTGCACAGCCTAGCTCAGCCTAGCTCCTGATACCATAAAGATTTAGTGAATACAAGTTTTCATCCACCCAACTCCATGATCATTCCCGGCTGCCATGCTGGATGCTCCTGCTGGCACAGGCGGTCCACGGTGATGAGAAGATCCTCTCTGTCCTCCCTCACAAGCTTATATAAAGTATGAATAGGTGTGGAAACAAATCACATGAGCCAGAGTTTAAAACTGTGACCTGACGGACGGGGTGTGGAAAGGGGACAGTAGTTTAAGAGGTACTAAGGGAAGGCCTCTCAGGAGAGCTAGCACTTGAGCTGAGATCTAAATGGCAAGGACAAAAAAAGCACATAGAGACCGAGGAGTGAGCATGTCTGCCAGATAGAATGTGGACTGGCTGGTTTTATGTCAACTTGATACATGCTAGAGTCATCTGAGAGGAAGGAGCCTCAGTTGAGGAAAGGCCTCCATAAGATCCAGCTGTAAGGCATTTTCTTAAATAGTCATCAATGGGGGAGGGTCCAGCCCATTGTGGATGGTGCCATCCCTGGGCTGGTGGTCCTGGGTTCTATAAGAAAGCGGGCTGAGCAAGCTATGAGGAGTAAGCCAGTAAGTAGCCCTCCTCTATGGTCTCTGCATCAGTTCCTGCCTCCAGGTCCCTGCCCTGCCCGAGTCCCTGCCTTGACTTCCTCAGCGCTAGGTTATGACCTGAGAGCTATACGATGAAATAAACCCTTTCCTCCCCAGTTGCTTGGTCATGGTTTCATTACAGCAGTAACTAAGACAGAACATCTGTTGAAAGGAGCAAGCCTGACAGAGGGGAGCATCCCAGAGGCTGGTCACTGAGCATCAGAGCCTGGGGTGGGAGGTGCCAAGGAGGCAGGTCTAGTCTATGGGAATGAACTCTCTTGAAGGTCACAGAAAGCTGGGAGGGGTGAGGATTTCGTAGTCTGGGTTTCCAGTGGACCTACCTGTCTGCATATTGAGAACAGTTTACAAGAAGGCAGCAAGGCGCCAAGAGGCAGGCAAAGGGCATGTGGACCACGGCCTGGTGATAGCACAGTGATGGAGAGTAGCTGAGGAACTCAGTAGTGTATGAGCAAAAGCAGGCCCCCTAGGGAAAGTATTTCGACCTGTGCCCATTAATCCTTGCCTGGAGCCCTTTCCTAAGCTGCTGGAGCTCAGGCTGGACTCAGATGCCTCCTTAGGTGTAGACCCAATGATGGATCCCCAGTATTCACCACTACCCGCCCTGGTGGAAACTGGGACAATGTGGAGGTGGGCCAGACATGAGGCTTGGGGGTACAGCAATGTTGCAGTTCTCCTTACAGACACTGTATGGTTAAGATGCCTGAGGGAGGGCTGGAGAGATGGCTCAGAGGTTAAGAGCACTGACTGTTCTTCCAGAGGTCCTGAGTTCAATTCCCAGCAACCACATGGTGGCTCACAACCATCTGTAATGAGATCTGGTGCCCTCTTCTGACTTGCAGGAATAAATGCAGGCAGAATACTATAAACATAATAAATAAATAAATCTTTTTTAAAAAAATGCCTGAGGGAGATCTCTGGCTTCTACCTCTATTTGCACCTGCTTCCTTAAAAAACAGTACCAGAAGACCGCATAGAAAGGAACGTGTAACCACCTGACCATCCTGAACTGTGGGCACCTTGTTAGTCTATTTCAGCAGTTGATATTCCTGCAAAGCAGGCTACTGTCTCCTTCAGGAGAAGAAACCGAGGCTCCAAGAGCTTGTCATGCTTAGGTAAGCCATGAGCTGGCTACATTTCACCTCTCTACTTTCTGACCCCCAGCAAAGTCCACTGTGCCCAGTCCTGGGCTCACTCACCGCCCGCACATCGTCAGGCAGGTCCTCATCCATCTCGCCCTTGAGGATCTTCTCCAGGGTGTTGATGGCGATCTCCAGGATCTTCTCATGGTGATGGTTCTCCAAGTCCCGGCACTGAGCCATCCTGCAGTTGTGAGTTAAAGCCAGGGGCAGAGCAAGCCAGGTGTCTCTCACCTGTGGCAGGGCCTCTGCTAAACAAGGCTACCATCTCCACTAGAGAGACCAGTTTCTAAGCCAGTGGCTCTCAACCTTCCTAATGCTGCGACCCTTTACTACAGTTCCTCATGTGGTGACCCTCAACCATAAAATGATTGTGTTGCTACTTTGTAATTTTGCTAATGTCATATGAGTCATAATATAAATATTTGATATGTAGGATATCTGATATGTTACCACTGCTCTAAGGGCTCAAGATCTGCTTCAGGGTGCTAAGGGCCATCATGGCCATCAAGCTGTCACCCCATGCATCAAAGCCCAGGGTCATCGTCAGGTCCTCATATCATTCCGATCCTTATACTGGGTCATTAATGTCCCTCAGGGTCCTCACTCTCCTCTGTTCCTCCATCCCCATAGCTTCCCAACACCACAGTAGACCTCACTGGTCTCGCATACTCTCTTCCTCCTTCTCCTGGAAGAAGACTGAGGATTTAAGTAGCCAGTTCCTAGCTTAGAGCATCCTGGCGCTTCCATTCTGTGATGCGGCCTGAAGTCCTCATCTGGAGACTTGTTTTCTCAGGTTCATCCTCGGGATCTTTGAACACACTGCTTCTGCTGACTGGACTGTATCGACTTTCACCTGTTCCTGTGGCCACCTGCAGGTCTTTTAATGTTTAGGGAGACCACTGACCCTTTACCCTCCATACCACTTGGTACTTGCATGACTGCATGCTGGACTCTGAGCCCCAGGATGGTAGAACCTGAGTTCCTTCTGGGGTGGAACTGAGCACTTTCCCCCCATAAAGGGCTGGTCATGCTTCTAATGTTGGTTTCTAACCTTAACAGTAGCCTGCCAAGCTCCTTTTAACTTGCCCTGTCTTCAGAGTGGGTGTTGCCTAATCCCAGAGTATTTTCCTGCAATAAAAAGTCAGGCAGTGATTCCGAGGTGTCAGTGTCCCCATGAACATCACCTACTTAGGGACATATGCAAGACGACTGCACTGAAGTCCCTCTGGGCTTCCAAACTGGCATTCTAGCAAGGCCATCACTGTGTAGTGTCAGGAACCACTTCAGGTGTCATGGAGTATACTCAGTGATCACCAAATATGCATCCTATGATAGGAAGGACCTCTTCCTCGATGCAGATTGGTAGCTGTTACATTCTTCTACCTTCAAAAATGGAGAGCTGTGAACTAGGACCCTGTGGGGAATATAAACGCCTTCTTGGGGTGAGGTTTAGGTCTTTCTGGAATCCATGGGGGTAAGTATTTTGGGTAGGAACTGAAGCATGATCTAGAGTGCTGGCTTTACTCTGTAGCAGGAGCAGCAGGGGGTGGGGCTCTGCACACACACACATACACACACACACACACACATACACACACACACATACACACACACACA